TTATACCATTATACCAGCTCTTGGGAGGATGACTCGGAACCCTCCAGAACCCCAATCCCCACCAAGCCCTCTTGCTGGCTGAGCAGCTTCTCCTGACTATCTGATGAGGCTGGCTCTGCCAGACAGGGACCCTTGATGACACCCTCACAAACCCACCACCCCTCAGTGTCTTCAGACTAGAGTTGGGCTCCAGGATGCCCTGAGGGACAGGATTCAGCACAATCCCAAACCAAAATCTGTGCAGAACTCTGTGATTTCACATGGTCAAAGATCTGGAGAAGATGTGTGGATGGACTCTGAGGATCCACACCACGGAAGAGAGAACATAATTTCTGATTGGGCTGAGTATATTAATAGGACAGTGCCAGCTGGTGATCTGGATTCAGGTGCCAGCCTCACTTGCTGGGGTGGCTCTGTTTCCACACCCTCACTGAAGCAGGGACAACCGAAATGCCAAGAGGGATACAGAGACATAGGAGTGGCTTAACCACGGATGACCTACCACCCTTAACTATGACCCCTTGTAAGAGCCCAAAATCTAGTCCCTTCACCAAGACACTGTAAGCCACCTTGTTGAGGGGGCCCAACAGTCTTCAAAGTGTCTTAGTGCCCAGGTACAGAGTCCTGCCCATGGCTCAGCTCCTGATTTCTGGAGTCTGGAATGGTAGAGGCTCAGTGGCAGCGATGACCACTGGGACCGGCTGAGCACTACCACAACAGGCAGCAGGGCCACGGGGCCGTCCCGGCGGTCTGACCAGCAGGGATGGGTCGGGCTAATGGATCACAAGTTCCCCAGGACAAAAGTAGATCAGCAACCCCCAAGGACCTGTGGCTTTTATAATCAGAAAGGTCTGGGTGTGGTAAACCCACCTCCAGAAAGAGGCACATGATCCCTCCCCCAGGCCCAGGCCCGAGTCAGTTCACAGACCCTGAGCTTCCCAAATGAAGAAAGGTCCTGACATTATGTCTGGAGTCTGTCCTGTGAGTGTCCCCGCAGGAGAACTCACTGTACACTGGGGAAGTAGGGGGCGGGGCTGAGTCCCTGTTTCCTCATTTGTAACAGGACAACATCTGCACAAAAGGACTGCCAGGTTGATTGAGTGGAACACCGCCGCCGTGCCTGGAGTGTGAAGGCATGCGTTCGCCACAGCGAGGCTTTTAATCCCTCTGTGACTTCGTACTCGTTCTTCACTCCACCCCACTGTGATCAGCCATTTGCCGGGTTCTGAGAGGAAAAAATAATAACCCTTGCCAAATATGTGCCAGGAGCACTGCTCGGCCCTACTGTCCTAACCTGCACAACAGCTCTGTGAGGCAGCACAGCGGGAGGTGGCAATGGGCGACAGGGACCTGTGTGTCTTCTGTTCGTAAACCCGTGTCCTCTCCACGGTGGCACTGAGCTCCTCTGAGGTTAATAAAATGAGGTGGTGAGTACAGAGCCTGGGACATGGTGAGGATGATAAATACAGAGGGGGTAGTAGGGGGATGGATGGGTTGGCGGGTGGACGGATAGACAGACGGACAAATGAATGAGCAGATGGGTGGGTGGATGGATGATGGGTGGGTAGATGGATGGACAAATGAATGGATAGGTGGGTGAAAGGATGGATGAGTGGGTGGATGGACAGATGGACAGGTAGGTGGATGGGTGGGTGGAAGGACAGACAGATGAATGAATGGATGGGCTGATAGATGAACGGATTAGTGGGTGGATGGATGGATGGATGGATGGACAGACAGATGGGTGATAGATGGGTGGACGGGTGGACAGGTGGATGGAGAAGTGTAGACATGGAGAGAGATGATGGTTAAACAGACTTAGAAAATAGATTCAAGATGATGCCAACCCTTGAGGCTCTTGCAATCAAAGAACATGTTGCGCTAAGCATGGAGCTACCCAGAAGTTGAAATATCTTATCTGTAGTTAAGTGACACCCTCAGAGTCTACAATTTTCCAGCCACACCATGGATTGGTGTTGATGAAGATCAGCCAGGCAAGCTGTGACTTGGGCCAGACTTACCCGATCCCTCCAGCAACATATCTTCATGTTTATTCATTCAACAGGTTTTATTGACTGCCTACTATGTGGCACTATTCTAGGCCCTGGGGACAGAGTAGTGAACAAAATGGGAGAGATGGAGAGCCGAGGAGAGGTGTTCATGCTGAGTGAGCCAGATGAGGACAGGTGCTACAGAGATCACAAAGCGGTGTCAGTAGGCCCTGGGGCTGCTCTCTTAGAAAGGTTGCATGGGCGGCTTCATGGGTGGGTGGACACCTGCATGGAGACCTGAAGGAAGGGCAGAGGCAAGTCAGGCTGAGACCCGGGAGGAGCAGGGACTTTCCTAGGATCACACGGTTAACTGTGTGGCTGGGTCAGTACTGTCACCGGGCTTACAGACAGGTGCTGGGGTTCTGCGGCTCTGTCAGCAGAAGAGGACTGAGTTGGGATCCAGCCACTCAGCAGCTGCAGGACCCCGGTAAGCCTGTTGGCCGTCATCCGCCATTCATCATCTCCATTCCTTAAAACAATCTCACGAGTGCTAGGAGTTAGTTCATGGATATTTTACTTTATAAGCAGTAAACATTCATTACAGTCGTCCTTCAGTATCCACGGGGGACTGATTCCAGGACGCCTCCCCCATCCTGTGCTTGGATACCAACATCCGAGGGTGCTCAAGTCCCTGGTAGAAAATGCTGCAGAATTTGCCTTTAACCTACACACGTCCTCCTGTACACTTTAAATCATCTCTCGGCTACTCGTGATACCTAATACATAGCAAATGCTACGTAAATAGTTGTTATACTGTATCTTTTTGTTTGTTTTGGCTTTTATTGTTGTATTGTTATTTTTATTTTTAATATTTTTGATCCCCAGTTGGTTGAATCCACGGATGTGGAATCCACAGACATGGAGCACTGACTGTATTTTGTATCTCACAAGAGCTCACAAGGGGGGCCGGCCCGGTGGTGCACTGCTACAGTGCGCCGCTTGGGAAGCGCGGCGGCGCTCCCGCCGAGGGTTCGGATCCCACATACAGACCGGTTCCCGCTCACTGGCTGAGCGAGGTGCGGGTGTGGCAAGGGTTGCGATCCTGTTGCCAGTCCCAGTCCAGTACGGGCGTGACACTGAGGGTTGCGATCCGTTGCCGGACACAAAAAAAGACAAAAAAAAAAAAAAAAAGAGCTCACAAGGTGTGGCTGACCACCCCAGGATTGTGGAAGAGGACCGGCTGGGTGGCCACGTCGTCTCTTTCCCAAGTAAACAGGGCTATCTATTAGGTTTAGGTTCCATTGCAAGGGACAGAAATCCCCAAATAAGAGTAACTCAAACAGAAGAAATGTCTTTCTTCCACAAAAACTCCTGAGCTAGGCGATCCGGTGTGGGGACCCCAGCCCTCCCATCTTGCTCCACCGTCCTCAGCATTTAGTTTTCACCTCATGGCTCAAGATGGCTGCTTGAATGCCAGACATCGTGTCTGTATTACAGCCAAACATGCAGAGAAACGAGTAAAGAAGGGAATGCCTTCTCCCCAGCACAGGAGGTTCTGGAAGAATGCCACTTTAGCCTGGCAATTCTAAGACCCAGAGAAGGTCCACAGACTTGGTGGTGCTGCAGCCTGAGATGGCACGGGGGAGGGGAGAGGCAAGCAGCTCTGCCTGGGAAGCTCCTGCAGCCGCCTCATGAACAACCCAGCTGTTGGCAGCTGCCGAGATGGCTCAAATTTCCATCTCCCAGTGGGGCTGTCTCCTCCTCCCAGCCAGAGCCTTCTCTGGTACCCTGGGAACCCAGAACACTTGGGGGTTAGGGCAGATGGGAGGGTTCTGCAGACAGGAGTAGGCGTTTCCAGGCAAATCCGTCTGGTCTGCACTGCCCACCACCACCACGGGTGGACTCCACGTCCTCAGGTGCAGGGCTGAGAATCCCAGGATGCATTTAAATCAAATTGCTATAAAAGCCCCTGGCGGTGACAGGCACATGGGAGGAGCTCAAGGTGGTGAGTGAATGAATGAATGAATCAATCAGTCAGTCATGGACAGCCCAAATGTTATTCAGTCTCATCTCAGCCAAGTTGTCACCCAGCTTCCCCTTGCATACTTCTAGCGACGGGAGCTCACTACTTTAAGGGGCAAAATGGCTTTAGGTTTTGTTGTGAATTTTTTGGCAACTGGCTGATACGGGATCTGCTTTTTTATTTTTTATTTTTATTTTTTGGCTTTAGTTTTTGGTTGTCCTTATCGTGAGTCAGACTCTGCACCTCCTGGGCTCCTGTCAGTCCCAGTCCATGCTGCAGTGGGACCCAGAGCACATTTAGCATCTTTCTGTGGGCTGGTACCTAAGTCTTCATGAGCAAGAGAAAGCACAGAACCCCAGAGCTGGGCCTTGGAGACCACACGTCCCTTCTTATGTTTCAGATGAGGTTCTGGCCAGATTCAGGCTGTGACTTGCCCAAGGCCACACAGCTGGCTCAGGGCTGAGCCAAGACCAGACCCCATACCCAACTTTCAGCTGTTTCCTTCTAAACCCCACATCCCCTCTTGGGACTTCCTCCACCCTTCCCCACATTGCGTGCCCGTCCCCACAGCCATTCCCACCACCCACCCCACGATGCTGAGGATCCACTTCCCCTATGGAGACCCTTGGGCTGCAGAAACCCATTTCTCATCACTGCCAGGGACAGGGACAGGTCTGGGTCTTGGGGTCCATGTGTCAGGAGCTGCTGTAGGACCCCACCCCTAGGGGGTCCTGGTGTCTTCTGTCCCCCACTAGACAGAGGCTCCTTCCAAGCTGTGGGCCCGTGTGTATGTGCATGTATGTGTGAGTGTGTGAGCGTGTGTGTGCACAAGTGTGTGCGATCGCGCCTGAGCCTCCCAGTGAGAGGAATACGCAGCAAGCTGTCGGCACATCCTGCCAACGCAGAAAGGTTAATTGTCACGCACGATGCCAACAGACAGACCTCCAGCAGATTCATTTGGTTTTGTTTTGTGGTTATTTTTTTTTACAACTTTAAATACGGAATATAAATAAATTTTACATTTAAAAAATAAAAGGAAAGCCCCCAAAAATATAATCACCGACTTTACAAACTGAAGGAAGCAGGTTTTGGAAGGGGGTAGGGAAGTGCAACGGAAGGTGGGAAGGGACGTGGGAGCTCAGACCCCACCCCTAGGGGGTCCTGGGGTCTCCCCCTCTTCTCCCCCCCTCTCAGCCCATGAGCTGGTTTCCTGGGAGGAGCCATCAGAGATGGGACTCGAAAGGATCTAAGATGGGGGAGTGTGCAAGCAGGGAGGGGGTGGGATGGGAGGAGCTGCCCCTCCCGTGGAGACCCCCTCCTGGGTTTCTCATACCTGCCTCAAGGGTGATTGCCGCAGCTAAGGACTCTGGGAAATGGAGGCCAGATGGACAACAGTGTTGTCTCCCCACCCTCCACCCAGGGCTCACTCCTGTCTGACCACTCCAGTCAGGGACACAGCCAGTCCACACGGAGCCTTTGTGTGAATTAGGAAAAGAATCCCTTTCCTCAGACACTTCATGTACATCTGCCAGAAACTGTCATAAAAATATACAAATCCACCATATCTATGGTGTGAATTGTGCTTCCCACGTGCAGTGCCCTTGTGCAGTACACATCCTGCGCAACCTTACGTGGCAGTTTTGGCTGGGTTGGAATATGATGGGCAGGTCCCCTGCTGCCCTGGCCCCTGGTCTTCTGCCCCAGGGAGGAGTGACTGGGGTCATTTGGAGGCCTCAGTAAGGGGCCCAAGACTCCCTTGGTGAAGCAGATTGAAGGACCAGGACAAGAGGACAATGCAGCGTGGAGGTAGAGAAATGAAATGAAATAGGGAAAGAAGAGGACCAAGGTGGGGGGGAGGGGGGAAGGCAGAGGATGCCCAGGTTGCCATCGATGTCCACCTCAAGAGCAAACTGCATCCCTAACCCGCCTGAGGGCAACTGGCCACCTGGCGCTCTGGCCATACCTGCCCAGAGGAGTCCACATCTTCAAGGACTTCATACATGTAAAATGAAAAGAAGCCACCGTGAGCAGAGGCGACCAGGTGAGGAGGCGACTGGTAGGTCTGGGCACCACACGAGGGGGTTTTCTCCAGTCTGTGCTCCCCCACATGGCCTTAGCCATAGGAGTAGGAGGTACCCCGACCTGCCTGGAGGTGTTCCCCTCAGAGCTGGCAAGGGGCCCAGGGACAGGCAGGCCATGCTGAGAGGTCCTCAGGGGCATGTGCAGGGCTCCTCAGGCCAGTCCACAGAGCCCGGGTATGGCCCGAACCAGGCGAGGGGGAAGGGAGCCCCTTCCCCGAAACAGCGACCCCATCAGTCTCTCTTGCATTAATCCCATATTCTTCAGGTCAAGGGAGGAAGATGGAGCTCAGTCCTTCTTTTACTTCTTGAGCTGCTGGACCAGACGCCGGAGGCCGCTGCGGGAGACCCGCTGATGGAAGGATGGACGGTCGCGTGGAGGGGTGGGGGGAGCACCATTGGCCGTCCGAATCAGGCATCGAGACAGACGGACGAAGGGAACAATATTATCACTCCAAGGACCCCATGGGGGCAATACAGCAAATACCATATTAAATAACCCTGTAGGCAAGCAGAGGGACACACGAGGGGTCAGAAACAGCCTAGGGGGTCCAGCCCACGCTCATAGGCCCCCATAGGGGCAGGGAGCAGGGCAGCGGGGGGGTCGACCAGCCCTGATTTCCAGCAGTGTTCAGGGCTAGGGGAGTTGAGGTGGGCTGGGAAGACTTGAGGTTTGGACCTCCCGTTCCCTTAGGCCACACTGGGACACAGCTAGCCTGGGGTCTTCTCAAAGCCCTCCACCCCATCTGCCCTATGGAAGAACGCAGCTGTGAATTGGGCAGAGGGGATGAAGGCCTAGAGGATGGATTTTGTATGGGAAATGCCTCTCCCCCAGCCCCATCCACAGCCCTAGCCACAGGCCAGGGAGAAGGAAACACAGGGTTCTGAGCCTCGGTTTCCTGCTTGGCCCTCACCTGCCCACACTCTCCTGCCGATGCCCCTAGGCTCCGAGGGTCTCCTTCAGTGCCTTCTTGTCATGTGTGTGCTTGAATTTCCGGTGCTTCCCCTTGGGGGGCCGGCGGACTACCACGGTCCGAGTGGCCATCCGCATTTGGGGCGTCTTGGCTGCTCGAGAAAAAAAAAGGTCTCGTCAGCATGAGTATGAGCACGTGGAGGGTCTGTCTCTCCTGACCAAGGCCTGCCACAGACCTTCCCAGATCCTCTGGACTGAGTCAGGGAGGTGGGGGATGGGGCTCTGGGGACAGGCCTCCTGGGCCTCATCCACTGTTCACCAGCTGATGCCTCGGGGACAATTGCTAAACCTCTCCGCACCTCGGTTTCTCCATCTGTGAAATGGAGGTGATAAGACTACCCACCTCACAGGACTGGTGAGGAATAAACGAAGCATGCTGGCAAAGCTCTCTGCACAGAACCTGACACAGAGGGAGCAGGTCAAATACGGCTTCAAACTCTTTGTCATTGCCCGCTGACAGCTGTTTCCTTCCCTGCCCCTTGAATCTGTTTAACCAATAAAAAGAGGCAGAAGGGGTGCCGTGCCAGTTCCAGGCACGAGCCTTAAGAAGGCCTGGCAGCAATCACCTTCACGCCTTGGGGAACCCCGTGCCACCACATAAGAAATCTGGCTACCCTGCTGGAGAGGCCACATGAGGAGGCCAAGTGGGGACTGAGCCAGAGGCCCTGGACTACAAGGAGGTGAAAAGAGGCCCACCTGTCCCAGTCGGGCCTCCAGATGACTGCAACGGCAAGACAGACTGATAGACCTGCCCAGCCAAGCCCAGTCAACCTGCAGACCTGAGCGTAAAATGGTTGTTTAAACCACGAGGCTCAGAGGAGGAGGAGTCAGCAAGCCCCTGTCACACTCAGCCGAAATGCTGAAACTAAAATGACAGGACTTAGGGCCGGCCCGTGGCTCCCTTGGGAGAGTGCGGTGCTGATAACACCAAGGCCACGGACCCCATATAGGGATGGCCGGTTTGCTCACTTGGGAGAGCGTGGTGCTGACAACACCAAGTCAAGGGTTAGGATCCCCTTACCGGTCATCTTTTTAAAAAATAAAAACTGCAGGACTTTATGTTACCCTACATGTTATGGGTTTAACATGCCTCCGAAGAAACTGGTTTATAAAATCACATGAAACAAATATATAAAATAACCCCATTCTCAGCATAAAGAATATATTTTTCCTTAAAAGAGAAAACATTCTCCGCGTTAAGTCTATAAATAATTTACAACATGTCAGCTGTCAAATGATCAGCCTTCCCAGGGCATCTAGTGACTTGGCTCAGCTCTGAGAACAAGACAAAGAGGCCGACAAACGGCCCCACCTTCAGGGCACTTGTTAACAAGAAATGAGGATGAAAAGGTTGTCCCGTCCCTAGTAGACAGTTACTGAAAATCAAAACTGTCACTTACACGATTTCTTTTTAATGCTCATCTAATCATATTAATGATTTGATCCTTATCGCAAATGTTCGAGGGAGAAAAGGCAGCAAGATAGAGCCAAAAGAACCCAGAACTAGAGGTTGTAAGACCTGGGTTTTTGGTGGGCTTTGCTGCTGTGCAATCCTTGCTAAGTCCCTTCACTTCTCTGTGGTCCGGCAGTCCTGTTAACAACACTGAAGGTCTAACTCTAAGGTCATCTTTCCGGTCTATTCTAGTGCTAAAATTTGAACATCTTTTTACAAAATGAGAAGGCAGGTGAGAGCTGGAAAGAGCCATCAGGGTGAGGGAAGAGCCAAAACCAGAACCTCAGGACACTGGATTCCAGTCACACCCATGTTTGGGACTGGTTGTGTGACGGTGGGCAAAACCTCAGTGACTCTGGGCCTCAGGCATCTCCTCTGTAAATGAGCGGGGAGGCAGCCACACCATTCTTTGGGTCTTTAAACTGAAGTTTAACCATCCATGCCCCTGAGACTGTGAATTCATGAAGTCCAAGGACAGAAGTGGACTCCAAATCCACTCATGCATCTGATTGATGCTTGAACCCCATCTGTCACATCCCAGCTACACAGCTCCCCAGTCTCTGCTTGCACACCTCCAGTGACAGGAGGTCACTACCTCACAAGGCGACAATTCCATCTTGGACCCAAGTGATCACCACGTTTTCTGTATACAGAGCAAAAATCTCTCTCCAGTGTTTTCTCCCCACTGGTCCTAGTTCCCCACTCAAGGCCACAAGAAATTAGTTTGATTTCTCATCCCCAGGACAAGTTGTCAAATATCTGAAGAGAATGTGCGTTGAGTCTCCTCTTGTCCAGGCCCCGGTTCCTCCAACCACTCCATGCACTCATTCAACAAAGTAGGGGCTGCGGTTGCAAGACCGCAAATAGGGCTGCTCCAGACAGGACAGCCAGGGAAGACCTCCAGGAGGAGGCGACTTCTGAGCTGAGACCCAAATGAAGAGAAGGAGCTAGGCTTGTGAAGAGCTGGGAGAAGTGTGATTCGATAGGGAATAGCGTGTGCAAAGGCCCTGAAGCAGAAACTTATTCAGCCATTCAAGGAGGCCAGACAGGCTGAGGTGGCTTAAGTGAAGCGTGTTAGTTGGCCCCAAGGCCAGAGGTCCAGCCAGGGGCTGCATCCTCAGGTAGGGCCTCCCAGGCCAGGGAAGAATCTGGATTGTTCTCAGTGAAATGGAAAGCCTCAGATGAATTTAACCAGGGGAACACAGGACCCAATTTCCATTTTTAAGACCTGTCCCTGCCCCCAGCTGCCACAGGGGAAGGGAGTCGTGGGCTGAGCTGCTCAGGGGAAGACCCTGGAAGTGTGGTTACCTCGCTGCTCCTGGGAACCCCCAGGGCTTCGGGTCACAGGCCGAGCAGCCACCACTGTCTCACACCTGCATGCCAGGTGGTCCTCCAGTGTCACCGTGGCCTTCTTAAAGACTGGCTTCTTCCGCACGATCTCGATCTTTCTCACCTGGAGGTGAAAACCACCAGAGTGCCTCTTACGAGGCCACACAGGCAGGAGCAAGAGGACCCGAACTGCCTGCTCTTCCCACCCCGTGTCCCCTGTGTTGATCTTTCCTCGAAAGCCCAGAGAGCAGCCTGCAGGGTAAATGCTTTGGCCCAAACAATAGCAGGACCTTGCCCTCTGCCCTTCTTGTAGCTTTTCCATCAAAACAAGCCCTCTCGACCTGGCCTCCGGCTTTGCCCCCCTATGTGCCCCCAGAGAGGGAGAAAGGCATTTCCGGTTGAGCGTGGGGCCTGTGGTGTCCTCATTCCTGGAGCGCCAGCCAAGGTCAGGGGCTGCAGCAGAGGCGGGAGATGGTTGTCTGCAAGGAAGTGGGGGGAGGTTTTATCTAGGAGGGAGGCAGGAAGGGGGAGGTTATCTGTCAGGTGTCCATCCATAGAGCTGGAAGTATTGGGGACAGGAGATACCACGACAGTGGACAGTGGTGTGGAGAGTGACATTGGTCATCTCAGGCACGGGGCCCAGGCCAGGGATGGAAGATGGGCAGGTGGAAAGGCCACGGGCTCACCGCAGGGGAAGAGAAAGCAACAGAGTGGGCAAAATATTCAGCAGGGCCGGGGAGCCCCAGGAGGTGTGTGCCCACTGCCCATCCTGAGTTGGTGCGTGGGCGAGGGTGGCAGAAACCTTGGCACAGAAGATAGCTGAGGCTTCTCCGGCCTGGCCCTGCCCAGCATGAGACCAGGGAGCTCCCCGGGACAGCCTCTACTCTAAAATTTGCCTTGAGTTGAGTTATGTATACCCAGTCCCTCTGGAAAAGAAGCAGGCTCAGCATTTGACTGTCTGCTAGGGACTGCCTCAGGGCTGTCATCTGGAAAGTCTCTGCAACCACCTTGTTAAAGACAAAGCTTGTCAAAGGGACATGAGCAGGTGTCAGAAATGCAGGGGCACCTACCTACCTGAGCCTCTCTCTCTGTGGAATGAAGGGCTCTCTGAGAGCCCTGAATAGGAGAGAGTTTGGGGGGAACTTGAGCAGCTGCCCAGAACATTCTCAGTGTCAAATCAATGTTCGTTTTGGGAATTTATCCCTGTAAAGGAGGAGGCAGCATCCATTACTTAACATTGCACACCTAGCCCTGCCTGGGGATCTGTCTGTGGCTCTTGGTTACAGGGACTAAGCCACTTTAGAGGACTCATGGCTGGCCTCAGCACACCTGTACAGAGAGAGCTTCCAAGAGTGGCCCTCTCTGGACAGAGCCCAGAAACATGCCTTTCCACCTCCGCAAGGAAACCCAGTCAGGGAGTTAGCAGGCAGAAGGGTGACCCCTCCTTGCCACCGGGCCAGCCTGGGGTGGCTGCAGGCCTGCGCACCTGTACGTGCCGCAGCTGGACCTGGGTGGGGCGACACTGCACATTGCGGTTGTTGCAGCAGCCGGAGCAGCGCTGCACCTCCACGCAGGGCGGCCACACCAGGAAGTTGGCGTTGCTGCGGTCTACGAGGCCCCGGGAGATCTGGAACACTTCAGTGCGTGTCTTGCATTCAGCAATCATGGCTGGCTCAGCAACTGTTGGGGAACCTGGAGGGAGAGGGAACCTCCGTCAGGAAGGTGGGCCTTCCCAGAGCCCCTCACCTGGCAGGTAGCTCGGCAGGGTGCCCTGGGACTGACTACTCATTCTCAGAAACAACCCCCCATTGCCACTTCTTTCAACCCTAGGGTGGAGGTTTCAAGTCCCAGCTATTATCAGCCGTGGGATTTGGACAGATGGCTGAGCTTCTCTAAGTGTCAGTTTCCCCACTGAGTACGATGAGATCTACAACCAAGAACCATTGTAAGGATCAAGTTGGATAATTCAGACAGTGTGGAACCTGGTAAATGTTGAGTCAATGCCATTTCCTTCCACTGGCAAGTATCCATTTTATTCCATTTCACGCTTATGTGGCCCTTATGTGTGTGTATTATCTTGTAACCACCCTTACATTGCTGTCTTACACTGTGATCTATTCTTGCCCGTTGCTTTTTTCAAAGCCCCAGTTTCCTCAACTATGAAATGGGATAATAACAGTGCCTAACCCTCCCCTGCGGATCTAAGGAGTAATGCAAGGGAAGCCTGGTCTACAGTGAGTGCTCGGTCAATGCTGGGGCTGCTGTCATTATTCACAGACTGAGAAACTGAGGCTCTGAGGCTAAATTAACCCACTGAAATTCACAGATCAAGGGGTGGAACTCAGGTACCCAGCTCTTATCTTCAGGTTCCCCTAGCCACTGTCTACAGTGTTTCGGAGACTAAAGATAGGCAAAGAGGAGGAGCAGTTTGGGTGGGCTTCTCTGGGACCCAGTGATCGACAGCCTCCAAAGAAGTAGGAGGCAGTCCCAGGCTTTGCTCCACGCCTACCTTGCAGGCTGCAGCCCTTAGCCACAGTGAAACATGTGGCCCACCAGGGACAGCACAGGGTTCAAGTGAGAAGAGTTGGTTAGGGTCCCAGCCCTACCACTTCCTTGCTGTGTGACCTTGCCTACTTCTTTACGCTTTCTGGGCCCCAATTTCCAATGATGTGAGACAGAGTTAATAATATCTACAACCAGGGCTGAAGTAAGGAACGTACAAGTTTAAAAGCACTCTATTTAGAAAGCAGACAGTGTGGGGGGTAAGAGGGTGATGACTCAACTCCTCAATATAGAGGATTTAAGGATGGTTACACTCTCTTAGTTCAACTCAGTCCTAAGTATGGGGGGAGAGGGAGCTTTAAGATGAATCTCGGAGCCCTCGGGCTGGCGGCACGCCCCAGCTCTCCTTCCTTGGCTCCCATCCCTTGAGGCCACTGTGCCGATCCTCAGTCTCACCCAGGCTCCTTCTCCCGCGAGATAAGCTCTCTGGCTCGCCTCCAGAAAGGGACCGGGTCATATTCAGGTCCATCTCAGGACCATCCTCATCTGCAAGAGAAGGCACAGACACACTGCTGACAACCGTTGGCTGCCCAGCCATGGGTGGGGGCTCCGATGGGGCATCTGTGTAGGCAGGAAGGCTACCCCCCTCTAGTAAATAGTCCCCCGTGTAAACCTAAGGGTCCTGGCTCTGGGAAGGGGCCCTCCAGGCAAACTCCAGGGCAGCCACAGCACTCAGGGAAGAGTGGGTCCTGACTATATCCCCAGGGGGCCTCCGGCCCCTCTCCAGGCTCTTTAGCCACATTTTTGGCCAGAACCCATGTCAATGAAGTTAAAAATAACCCTTCCCCTTTGCTACTGTAAGCGAACTCTCCTCAGCCTCCAGGGTGGGGCAAGGACCCAGAGCACTGAAGGCCACTTTCCAGTGCCCTCCACCCAGCGTTCCCATAGGAAGTGCTGAATGGAGAAATTCCCAGAATCCCCCGGGGGACCCATGCCCTGAACCCAGCCCTCTGCAGCCCTGGACAATGGCACTGTCGTCAGGCGGGAGAGAGGGAGGGACAGAGATGGATGGGGGTGGGGGCTGAGGCCTGCCTGGGGTCGGGGGAGCCCTGGCCACGTGCCCCTCTGGTTCTTGGTGTCTCACTAGCTCCTGTCTCTCACCCTGCGTGTGTTTCTCTCTCTCCCCTTCTCTAACCTTCTGCCCCACGTCTGCCCCAAGTTGTCCATTTGTTCCTATGGTCACAGAGCCTGAGCAGCTCTCATCTCTGCCACCAGCACTCCTTGGAGACATCACTCTCCCTAGGGATGGTGGCCAGAAGCCGGCTGCTGGGAAGTGAGGGTTTGGGGAAGGACTCTCAGAAGTGAAGAGCCCGCGGATGACTAAGGGGTGTTGGGGACAAGCCCCTGCCACCTCCACTCACACCTGGTAGCTCAGGCCCTTTCCCCAATGCACTCGCCCTGTCAAAGACAGAGGCTCAGCTGGCTGCAGCCCATCCATGCAGGGTCCCAGGGGATCCTGTTTGGAGGACACTGTCCTGTGGGGAGCCCAGTGACTGGCCCGTTTCCGTCCAGCCTAACAGCTCCCACGTCATTGTGTCTGTCTGTCCCTCTCGCTCCCTTCCTTTCTCCCTGCCATCTCTGGAATGTCCCTGCTGGGGAGGAGATGGGGAAAAGATGTGCTTTGTGGAAAGGATAAGTCGATTAGGAAAAAATAGCCACATGGTTGCCTCAAAACAGGCCTGCTATTGACAACCTCATCTCCAAGATCCCGACCCCCACCAGGGATGTGGAGGGGCTGTCTGAGGGTGGGGGCGAAGGGACTTGGAAAGAAACAGCAGAAAGGCTAAATTTGGAAGTTGCCCCATTGTGTGGCCAGGGCTGGCCTGTCGGGCACGGGGTGGGGGTTGTGGGAGACGGGTGGGGGCCCTGGTGAACAATAGGTGGGCCCAGCCAGGGCCCCTCCTGCCTGCCTCATGGCCCCCCAGCACAGGAGGGATTGAAAGGGCCCGGGAATGCTTTTGAGAGGGAGCCAGGGGCCCAACGGGGAGAGGAAACAAAGGCAGGAAATGCTGTTCCCCCGTAGATAGCGTCTGGGCAAGGATTACAAAGTGACAAAGAGACAGAACCCCAGAGGGAAGGGGAGCTGGGGGTGCAGGGGGGTGCTGACCAGGGCTCCAGGGAACAGGCCAGAGGTTAGAATAGAATGGAATTCGCTCTGAAGACAGCATTTATAAATACATTCCCAGCCCAGCCCACCGGCTGCGCCACGTGTGTGCCACTGAGCACGTGCCCACTTGCTGAGCCCGCTCCCGGGCACGGGCAGGACTGCCTGCTGGGCTGGGCCAGGTGTCCCTGGGAGACCTCGTAGGCTGGGCACTTGGCCAGAGGGGCAGGGAGATGGCTCCTGTGGCACCACCCTCCCTGGCTGGGCCCACACCTGGATACCGCCTCGACTCGGCAGCTGCCCTGGGCACCTTCCCCCTGCCTGCCCTCCTCCTGGCACCCCACCCTCTGTGCCAGGCCAGAGCCACACGTGGGTGCTTCTCCTGCCACACCCCATGTCCCAGGTACCAACCCGTCTGCCTACTCACCCTGCCCTGGATGGGTGTGACCCAGTCCTCTCTGGGTTGCCACGGGCCTCCAGTTCTCTAGATGACAAGGAAGGGGGAGGCCTCCGGCCCTGCCCCTCCCAGCTCCCCCCAAGTGCTCAAAGGAGGACAGATCACCAGGCGGGGATTCATTTTACCTATGGAGTCTCCATGCAGCAGGCGCTGGAGGTCATCGAAGGAGCGGATCGAGTGGTCACTCAGCATCTCATAGAGCTCCTCGGGAATGGGGTCCCCCTGCCAGGCAGACACCACAAGCAGCGTAAGCTGGGCGTGAGGGTTTTCCGGCTGTGACTCTCTACCCCACTGCACACTTTCTCCAGTGGAAAGTTCCCACAGAGCCCCTCGGTCGCAGGCAAATGGACAGCCAGGCTGAGGGCAGGCAGAGTCCAGGCCTGGCAACCAGGAGCAAAAAGGCCTGGGGCCTGATCCTGCCAAAGCCTCAAAGATCCAGCTCAGAGGCTACACATGCAACCCCCAAACAGAAATCCCCGCTTGCTTCAAGTTAGACTTGCTTGTCTACGTCTGTCTCCTCCATCATAATACAGGTTCCAGGAAGGCTCCAAACATCTGATTTCTCTCTGCTTCTCCCTCCACAGCTGACAACTAATGACAGCCAGCATTTATCACGGGCAATCTAATCACCCCCACTTTACAGATAAGAAAAACAGGCTCAAATAGGGGACATTCTTTGCCCAAGATCAGAAGCTCCACATAAACCCAAGTCTTTGTGACAGCAGAGCCTTACTCCTAGCCTCTTGGGTACAAGAGCTGCTTAATAAATGCTTGAAGAGTTGTATGGTCTCAGGAGGCCACACGTTCTAGCGGTATCCATTTAATCTCTCATACCAAAGAAGAGAGAAGGGAATCCTCAGATACAGCCGGGAAACCTGAAAGCTTACCCATGTCCCATGTTCAACCAAACCCTATTTTTAGAGCCCCTCTGGCCTATTACCAAACACACTTGAAACTTAATAAGCGCTTTAACAGGCCTCACTCGGAGCCGGGCTTCCTCCAGGGAAACCACAGGTCCCACAGTGACATGAGAGTGGCCTGATAGGAAAGTCGCTGCCACATCCCCCACAGTGCCAGGAGTCCAGAGGGGCTGATGAGGCACTGAGGGGCAAAATCCAGACCACCAGCCATGGAGGGGCGAACAAAATGCATATGATACCACCACACATCCGAAGGCTCTGGCCAGACTCACACACATGCAAATGCACACTTGTACCGGCACAAGCACACAGGACTGCACAGTCTGGGGAAAGAGCCCTGGAGAGGGTGTCAGCAGGCTTGGCTTACTACTGTGGGACCCTGGGTTAAACCATGCTGTGACTCAGTTTCCCTGGATTAAGAAGGAACGAAGCCCTTGACTACTTGGTTCACTAAACACTCCAGGGACTGGAGTTCTGAGAGGCTTAGCACAGGCTACCTTTGCGGAGGGAACACTTACTGCCTGACATGGGGAGGGATGGTCATCTCAGCCCCGTGGCCAGCCCTG